CCATGTTTTCTTCTAGAACTTTTACAGCTTCAGGTCTTACATTTAATCCATTTTGCATTGATTTTTGTTTATGGCATAGGATAAGTTCCAATTTCATCCTTCTGCTTGTGAATGTCCAGTATTCCTAGCATCGTTTATTGAAAAGTATAACCCCTTGACCCATTGTGCATTCCTGGGATCTTTTTCAAAGATTAGCTGACTGTCTGCACGTGTTAACTTCTAGGTTTTATACTGTTTCCATGATATATGTTTGTTTTTCTGTCAGTACCATACTATTTTGATGATAGCTTTGTGATCGATTTTGGAATTCAGACATACAATACATCCATCTTTGTTCTCAAGATTGCTTGGCTGTCTCTGTGTATACGCACATGTGCAGGAGTTGTGGGGTGTGGGTGGGGTTACCTTAGGAATGCCCTTCCTCAAGAAATTAAAAATAGGGCTACCATATGACTGATAATCTCATTTCTGGGAATCACACTTCTGTGCTATGTGTGTGTGTCTATCTTTAAAGAGGAAATTGTAGTTTTTAATGTACAAGACTTTTACCCATATGCAAAAATTAGTCCTCTGTATTTTACTTTTTATGTTACTAGTAATAGGATTGTTTCCTTAATTTCTATCAAGTAAGTCATTGATTATTAGTACACAGAAATGCATCTGATTCTTGTATGTTGGTTTTGCACCCTGCAATTTTTTTAATTCATTTCTCAGCTCTAACTACTTTCGGTAGAATCTTTAAGAATTTCTACATATAAGACATATATTTACAAAGGGAAAGGGATACAATTTTACATCTTCCTTTCTGATTTGGATGTTTCTTGTTTCTTTTTCTTGCCTAATCACTGAAGCTACAACTTACAATACTATGTTGAATAGGTGGGTATCCTTTTCATTCCTGTTAGAGGAAATTATTTCAGTTCTTTGACACTGAATATGGAGTTAGCAGTTTTGACATATATGACTTTTATTATATTGGGACACATTTCCTTCTGTATCTACTTTCTTGAGAATTTTTACCAAGAATGTTGAATCTTGTCCAGTATTTTTCTGCATCTGCTGAGATGATCAATGATTTTTTTCCCTTCATTCTATTAGCATGATGTATCATTTTCATTGATTTCTGTAAAATGAGCCATTTCATACAGGAATAAATCCTACTTGGTTATGGTGCATGATCCCTTCAATATGCTGTTGAACTCAGTTTGTTAGAATTTTGTTCAAAACTTTTGCATCACTGCTCATCTGTCTTACAGTTTAATAGAAAAAAAGTGCTTACAACTTAATAGAAAAAAATAGGGAATAAGCATATATACTAATTGAACATTGACAAACCTAGCTATAAAAAATGTGAACAGTGCCTTTGTAATACAAAGGATAGAGAATTCAAAGAATTCAGAAATGGGACTTGAGGAAAGGATTACAGAGATAAGAAATTGGACTTAGGTCTTTAAAGATATTTAGGAGATTTTCTGAAAAAAGAGACCTCTAATATGCAATGTGTGGGTGAATAGGACAACCTGGAATGCCAACATGCTCACGGTGTGGCCACAGCACAGTATATCAGTGAATCACAGAGATGAATCTGAAGAGGTGATCTGAGAACAGAACTGGAAAAAACTCTGTCCCCACACACCAGTCTCCACTCCCTTGGTTCCAGTGAACCAGAATCAGAGCTCCCCACACCCACCTCTCCTCCACAGCATCCTGTCTCCGAAACTACCACCCAGTCAAATTTCAGTGTCAATCTGGTCGTGTAACATGATGGTCCCTAGGAAAAAGGGAAGTTCCAGGTTCCCTGCCCCCCCCCGACCACCCTGTTACAATCATATCATCCCCCTGTTTAAAATCAAATACTCTTTTTATTGTTTATGGAAGTTCAAACTCTTAACTGTCACTGAAGTTTCTTATTATTAGTTGTAAGTGAAGCGAAATTTTTTATCAGCAGTTTTCTTTACCTTATTGATCCAGAAAGGTAATATGAGAATTCTAATTTAAATATGATTACCACTGTCCCCACATTGCAACACTAACCACACTTATAAAGTTGATCACATGAATCTAATCACATTAAGAGTAATTCCAAGCATAGAGGAAGTTTTTGTTTTTTTTCACATTTTAAATAATTTTGTCTGACCTCTCACTGACACATAATCTTTTCAACGATGGTTCTCAAAATTCCGTGTACTTAACTGCCTAGAAAGCTTGTTAAAAGATAACTGTGCACTCTCTCTCCAAAGGTTATAATTCAGTGGGTATGGGCAGAGTCCAATAATTGTCGGAGACTTTGTCCCGGATCACGGATTATTGGGGGGCAGAACAGGCAGGGTCTCAAGGT